CCTAGCCCATGTCTACATGGGCCTGGGCTGGGCCTGATTTTGGGCCAATGTCTTTTGTATATAAAACATTACATATCTATAATATTTTATATTAAATGCATAACATGTATATAAACTTATTTTATACATTATATAATATAAAATATTACATATAATATAAATTATACATTTCATGTTATAATATTTATATATAAAATATATAATTTAATGTAAAATAACATGTATACATATGTATACATTATACACAACATGTATAAGTTTAAATATATGCGAGCTAGGCCAGGTCTGGGCTGGGCTTGAACACAAAACTTAGGCCCAAGCCCGGAATTTCCGGGCCAGGCCGGGCCAGGCTGAAATGATCACCCCTAATACAAATTAATTATACAATGTCGAATTTTGGGCAATTTAAAATGATACTTTTCCCTGACTTAAAACAAGCTGAGCCTCAGATTTTCACGTATCTTTGTCTCTTACCAACCTGATTTAATCAACCCACAACACAAATTATAACTTGTGAGCCTGAGCCAAGTGAGCAAAAACTTGGTTTCTTTGAGAACCTATATGTGCATATGGTCATCTTCTAAGTGCCTGTTTGGGGGAATTCAATAACATGAGCTGTTGACAGGGTTCTCCCGGCACATTTGGTTCACAAGGACTCCTTGGCTCCTTGCATAACAATTGTATCCGTGTTGGATTAGGCGGTGAACAAAAAGACGGAAAAACCAAAAAATCAAATCGAACTGATGAGATCAAATAAAAAATTCCGGTTAATTGAATCAGATGCTTTGGTATTTTTAAAAGATTAAATGTATTTGATTAACCAATATAAAAATTTGGCGGTAAATTAAACTTATATTATATATAATTTATAAAACATAATATATTTTTTATAATTTTTTATTATATATTTATTTATAATATACTTTATAAAAATAAAAAATTATATATAATTTTTTATTTGATATTTAAAAAATTAAGAATTATAATATTTTTATTAATTATTATATATATTATTTTCTATATATATATATATTCGAGCTCGGCTCGCGAGCCTCACGAGCTGAGTTTTATTAGGCTCAAGCTCGGCTCGTTTATCAATCGAGCCTTTAAATTGGGCTCGAGCTTGGCTCGAAGCTCAATTGAAACTAAGCCGAGTTGAGCTCGAGTAGCTCATGAAGAGCTCGGCTCGTGGCCACCCCTAAAACTAATCAACCGGTTAATCAATCGGCTCTGGTTACTAATTTTCCAAAAACTAGTATTACCAGTTCGGTTAACCGAATCGTGAGCTTTATATATTTATTTATAATATATAGCATAAATATATAAAAAAAAACAAAAAATAGTGATGAATCGAACTAGCAATTAACTGATCGGCTTTGATTCAGTTTCATTTATCGATTTTCCAAAAACTGATAGTATTGGTTTAGTTTCAAAAATAAACCCACGGTTTGGTTAAATCGAACTGTGAACATCCTTATAATGTAGATAAATATTATAAGGTGTTTACAATTCGATTAAATTCCAAATTAAATCGATAGTACTGATTTTGGAAACCAAAACCAAACAAAGCTGATTAATTAACCGATTAATGGGTTCAGTTAACCGCCAATTCGATTCATTTAACCATTGATTTTTTATATTACTGAACCGATACCTTCAATTTTTCGAAAAATATCCAATTGACAAATTCGGAATTAATATCCAATCCGAATTTTCAATTCGGAATTGACAAATTCAATTAATTAGAATTTTCAATTAGGTCTAGATTCGATTTTTCGGTTTTTCTTACTCACCACTAGTGGACGAAGTGCAATATTTCATAACACCCTCAAGTATCAATGAAATATTTTTTTTTTTTCGCTTTCCAGTCGTCATCAAAGTATTCCAAGATAAATTATAGGCCCCCACCAATTTCTACGCAAGGTGGATCAGATTGTGCCCCTATTGACAGCTGCCAATAGGGGATCATTCCATTCATTTAGATCTCTGCCAACAAAACACATTCCAACACCCCTACCAACATGATCTGATCTGACACAGCAAATCTCATGTTAGTATGATGTTGGCAGGAAATATGCACTTCCATTCCATTAACTCTTGTTACGACCACACCATCCCATGTTGATCCGATCAATCTCAAAGGGCCCCACCAATTCTTACACAACTGTGCCACTTCATCTAAAGATCCACGTGTCATACTGACGTGTTTTTCACTTTTTAATAGATTGACGTGTTTTTGTTGCCTCAAAAGCACAAGCGGCACCAATGATTTGGTGGGTCATTCCATAAAGCAAAACTTTGACCAAAGTGACAGAAACAGTAGCGGGTTCACAAATACCCGCCCGCTGAGTGTAATTGGTCCGGTCATAAATATTCGAATCGTGACCCACTCGTTATTCGAATCAAGATCATTTGTTCATTACTCATCATTGCTCCAACACGCCTTCGTTAGTTTCGTTTTGGCTTGAAATCCTGTCTGGAGACACACTGAATTCAATCTCTAATCTCAAATTAATATTGGAAAAAAAAGATCGGGTCCCTTTTCTCAACCTTTTGTATGTCCGTAAAAAATCGGATCTGACGTTGTTTCCTTCTTTCTTCGCGGGGTTTTTGATCTCTTTTTTCGGATCTCTTCTTCTTCTTCGTCCTCCTCTTCTTCTCAATTCTACTGTTCCATTCTTTCTCCGTCTCTAAAGATTTCATGCAGTTCCGTAAGGCAAGCCATCGGGTCTTTTCTTCCCTTCCATCTCCGTTGCCTTCTGAACTCTTGCTTGGAGTGTTCATCTCTTCCTCTCCCATTCTCTCTTTCTCTCGATACATTTCGCTGGTGTGAAACAAATTTTCTGTGGATATATCATTAATGCCAAATGCAAAGTTAGGTTGCTCTGTGAAGCTCGGCTCTTGGTGAATGTGATCGATCACAAGTTTTCCTGCAAATTCAGCTCATTTAACTTAAGTAGTATGTCTTGCTATGATTTTCTTCAGTTAATCTGTTCGGATTGTTGAAGCAATAGGTAACGTTTGTGTACTTTGCAGAGGTCTCCAAAATGTCGGATATTTTACTCCATGGGTCGCTTCACGTCACGATCTACGAGGTGGATAGGCTATCTTCCGGAGGAGGAGGTGGCGGCCCTGGAGGGTTCCTCCATCAGGTATTTGATCTCAACTGTGGATTGCAATTTTGAAGCGTCTGGATGAAATAAAGTACTTATTTTTTGAAAAAAAAAAATTGTGTTTGGACTCGAACTGGATCAAAGAGAAAATCAAAGGCTTGAAATATAACCATCCAACAAAATGTTAGAAGCCATATTTCTCTGAGTTTGTCCCACTTTCATCTGTGTCCATTTTCTTTTCTCTTCTTGTTTTTTGTCTCTGTATGAATGTGCTGGTAAGGTTGCAATACTAGATTAATAGGTTTTTAAGGGAAATTTTTGAAGGTTTTACAACCTACACACACAGGCTTGTTATAGATTTTCGGTTGTTCCCAAGTTCCTTAAATTTTTAATTGTTATTGTTTTTTTTTTTTTTTTAATTCGTGACTCTTGCTTGTAAAGTTGCAGAAGCTTGCAGCATTTACATACACGAGTATATTAAATTTCAAAACTCCACAATTGCAATAATACAAATAGATCTTATGGAAAACTTTTTTAGGAAAGATTACTGATGTGGGAACTTTTAAACTTTCTTCACTTAAAATAAAGGAATGTGAAACAAAATCTTTACTAAAGTTTTCCTCCAACTGAAACTTGTGCTCGCTGGGTCTTCTTTCTCTTCAGCTTCTACCTAACTGCGTACTAGAATCGTTTCTAGACATCCAGTAGCATTCTATTGATTGTTATTATTGTTGAGGAGAAATTTGTCAAAGATTAATTATTTTTTGTTTTATTTTTCTTTCGTTTTTGTACTTTTTGTAAAATATTTTTTCCAGAGAAAAAGGGTAATTTAATTCAATTAAGTAGAAAGTGCATGAGAAATAAGGAAAAATTCTCAATTAGTACCTTCTACTTTGGGCCTAGTGTTATTTTGGTCCCTGAACTTTAAAATGCAACAATTTAGTACCCAAACTTTTAAAATGTGTTAACTCAGCACCTATTGTTAACTGGATGTTAATCAACCATTAAGTAGCATTTGAAAAAGACACAAATACCCTTTGAATGTCATATATTTTTCTTTATAAACCATCCAAACGTTGATAAAAAATTAATAGTCCCAAATCTTTGTCTCTTCTATTCAAGAAAGTTGGGGTCACCAGAATACCCACTGAGACATGACCCCAATTTTCTTGAATAGAAGAGGCAAGGATTTGATACTGTTAATTTTTTGTCAATGTTTGGATGGTTTACAAAGAAAATTAGATGACATGAAGGGTATATGTGTTTTTTTCAAATGTTACTTAACGGCTGGTTAACATACAGTTAACGTTAAGTATTGGATTGACACGTTTTGAAAATTTAGGTATTGTATTGTCACATTTTAAAGTTTGGGGACCAAAATGACACTAGATCCAAAGTAGTAGGTTAGGACCGTGTCCAGTCTATCCCTCCTAAGATCCCAAATAGCTGGGATCAACATTGGGTAATGGCCTTTTTACCCTTCTACCCTTCTGAATATATGAGATTATAGTAATGTATAGGCCATTGATGAAAAATGGATTGCTAGTGTTTTCCTGGATGTTCTGAATGCTGCACAGTTTCACCATTCTGTCTTTGAGTTCTTAAAATCTATGTTGTGATATGTTTTTATGCATAAGAAGATCAGGGTGATGAACAAAAATAGAATGCGGTTACTTCTTAGAAGGGCTAGGTTTCCATGACTTTGTTTACAAGGATTATGAAAATTGAACACTTGTTTTTATTTTTGTTTTTCTTATGTATGCTTCTGTTCTTGTTTCTCTTTTTACAATTCTTTCCTTTGTTTTTTTATTGGAAAAATTGGAAGGTTTATAGCTAATACCTATAGTTTTATTTTCTCTTGATTTGATCCATAAATATTTCTTGCAGATTGTTGAAAACATTGGAGAGGCTGTTGGCATTGGCAAAGACACGCCCAAAATCTATGCAACAGTTGATCTAGAAAAAGCTAGAGTTGGCCGGACCAGAATTATAGAAAACGAACGTGTCAATCCCCGGTGGTATGAGTCATTTCATATCTACTGTGCTCATATGGCCTCTAATGTGATCTTCACTGTCAAAGATGATGACGCTATTGGGGCAACACTATATGGAAGAGCTTACGTACCAGTTGAGGAAATCCTAAACGGAGAAGAGGTGGATAGATGGCTTGAAATCTTAGATGATGACCGCAATCCTGTTCGTGAGGGTTCTAAGATTCATGTGAGGCTCCAATTCTTTGATGTTACACGAGACCGTAACTGGTCTATGGGAATTAGGAGTGCCAAATTTCCTGGTGTCCCTTACACGTTTTTCTCACAAAGAAAGGGATGCAGAGTTTCTCTGTACCAAGATGCCCATATCCCAAACGGGTTTATCCCAAAAATTGCTCTTGATGGAAACGAGTTTTATGAACCACATAGATGCTGGGAGGATATATTTGATGCAATCACTAATGCAAAGCACTTGGTTTACATAACTGGGTGGTCTGTGTATACTGAGATCCACTTGATAAGGGACAATAGGAGGCCTAAGCCTGGAGGAGACATCACCCTTGGGGAGCTGCTCAAGAAAAAAGCCGGTGAAGGTGTCAGAGTTCTTATGCTTGTTTGGGATGACAGAACCTCTGTGGATTTGCTGAAGAAGGATGGGTTGATGGCTACTCATGATGAAGAAACAGAGAATTTCTTCCAGGGAACTGATGTCAACTGTATTTTGTGCCCTCGTAATCCTGATGATGGAGGGAGCATAGTTCAAGACTTGCAGATATCCACCATGTTCACCCACCACCAGAAGATTGTTGTGGTGGACAGTGAAATGCCCATCGGATCCGGAGCATCATCGGAGAGGAGGAGGATTGTGAGTTTTATTGGAGGTATTGATCTCTGTGATGGGAGATATGATGCACCCTTCCATTCCCTATTCAGAACCTTGGACACAGCTCACCATGAAGATTTCCATCAGCCCAACTTTACTGGTGCTGCCATCACGAAAGGTGGTCCAAGGGAGCCATGGCATGATATTCATTGCCGGTTGGAAGGTCCCGTTGCATGGGATGTCTTATACAACTTTGAACAAAGGTGGAGGAAACAAGGGGGAAAGGATGTGCTTGTTCAGATTAGAGAGCTTGAAGACATCTTCATTCCCCCATCCCCAGTTATGTTTCCAGAAGATCATGAAACATGGAATGTCCAGTTGTTTAGATCAATTGATGGTGGTGCAGCATTTGGATTTCCTGACACACCTGAAGAGGCTGCCAAAGCAGGGCTTATTAGTGGAAAAGACAATATCATTGACCGAAGCATTCAGGATGCTTATATAAATGCAATTCGACGGGCAAAGAATTTCATTTACATTGAAAATCAATATTTCCTTGGAAGCTCATTCTGCTGGAGGCCAGAGGGTATCAAGGTTGAGGAAGTTGGTGCTTTGCATCTGATCCCAAAGGAACTCGCACTTAAGATTGTTAGCAAAATTGAAGCTGGGGAAAGGTTCACTGTTTACGTTGTTGTCCCAATGTGGCCGGAGGGGATACCGGAGAGTGCATCAGTTCAGGCAATATTGGATTGGCAGAGAAGGACAATGGAGATGATGTATACTAATGTTATTCAGGCCTTACAAGCTAAGGGGGTTGAAGCAGACCCCAGAGACTATTTGACATTTTTCTGCCTAGGGAATCGGGAAGTGAAGAAAAGTGGGGAGTACGAACCATCTGAGCAACCCGAAGACAATACAGACTATAGCAGAGCTCAGCAGGCCCGACGTTTCATGATATATGTCCATACTAAGATGATGATAGGTAAAACTAAATGTTGCCTTCCCTTAATAATTTAAAAGTCCGTTGCATATTTTCTTACAGGCACAGAAAAAATCATACTTGATACACATTGGATCTTAAACTTTGAACACAAATCAATCCATTTAGTGTAGTTTTTTGCCTGTGGTTTTTTAATTGGTACCCATTAACATTCCCGACTGTAGGGGAGGGGATGGGATGGGATGGGATGGGATGGGCCAACAGTGATTAATTTTTAAATTTAAGCTTACTAATCAATAATCATGTGGTTTTCTACACACGAGTTTTACTTTATGTCAAAAGGGGAATCTTGACGCTGCTATATATGTATATCCATTGGACACTCACTGGTCCAATGGTTGCCTGCTTTTGCTTTTCAAAACATGTTTAAATGTGTTTCTGAATCATGAATCATTTCTCATTTGTATATACAAGGTGGTTGCGTTAAATGTTTGGGTGTTCCTATTTGATTCTAAAAGTGTTAAATGTTTTCTTAACAAAATGGCTGATGTGGCAAGATAAGAAAGCAGAAACGGTGAACATTTCCCCTTACCAAAACACCATTCTAATTAGCCCAAAGTGCAATTCTAACTTGTATGTTTACCTCTCTTCCTCTTTGCAGTTGATGATGAATACATAATCATAGGATCCGCCAACATCAACCAGAGGTCAATGGATGGTGCTAGAGACTCTGAGATTGCCATGGGAGCTTACCAACCATATCACCTAGCAACTAGGCAACCGGCCAGGGGCCAAATCCATGGCTTCCGAATGGCACTGTGGTACGAGCATCTCGGCATGCTTGATGATTGCTTCCTCCATCCTGAGAGTGTGGCATGTGTCCACAAGGTGAATCAGATTGCTGACAAGTACTGGGACCTGTATTCAAGTGAAACACTGGACCGAGACCTGCCTGGCCACCTCCTCAGGTACCCCATTGCAGTTACTGAAAATGGAGAGGTTACAGAGCTTCCAGGGACTCAGCACTTCCCTGACACAGAGGCTCTTGTTCTTGGTACCAAAGCTGAATACCTTCCTCCAATCCTCACTACATAAAAACGTAAACCACTTTGATTTTCTTAGGAAATAATCTCAATCTTCTCACAGTCTGCACCTGTAGTAACTTTAATGGTAATAAATCCCATGCATTGCAAGTTGCTGAAAAAAGAAAACATTGATATTGTTATTAGGAGAGGCAGCAATTTAGGGGCTTGTTTCAGGTCATCAGATGCTTGCTTCTACTTTGTGCTTTTGTTGCCGACATTTTGATGTTTGCTAGTTTCAATGGTCTAAGATCAGTAATTTTGCAAGTGCTTCTGACAATGACCGGAAAATGTTACATGTACTAATTAATGCTTCTGTTTGCCCTTCCAAAATGGTTTTGACTTTTACAAGGCATTGAGAAAAAGGTTCAAAGTACTGATACTAGGGCTGCAAGTCGGGCTGGGTTAGGTCGGGTTGAGGCCAACCCTAGCTCAACCCTAAGTTTTAAACCCCAACCCTAATCCTAACCCAATCCTAACCTTAACTAAATTCCTTCAACCCTAACCCAACCCGGAATCAATTTCGGGTTGGGTTGGGCCCAATCCAACCTACTTCCCATCCCTTAAAACCTCATAGAATTTCTCGATTTTAGATCTTAACTCAACTCTCACTACATATATTAATCCTATGCTTTATTAGTATTTGTTTGTTGACATTTTTTTAGTACAAAATTCAGAAAAAACAAGTGTCAGAAATGACTATAGTTTATTATGAGTTATAACTTACGATAGATCTTTCTTATGCGACAAACAACATAGAGGAGATGAAGAAAAAAATTTTCAAAAAACATAAAATAATGTTATTAAGGTTTTAGTCTTTCTTATTAGAATTAAGTGAAGTGATTATCTTAAAAGAAATACATGATACTATATGGTGGGGGCTATACAAATATCATGCATCTAAACAAATCAATGCATGCTATATATTACATATAACATATATTTATATATGACATGTACTATAGAATCGGGTTTGGGTTAGGTCGGGTTGGCTAAGGGGCCAACCTTAACCCAACCCGAAATAAAGTCGGGTTCATGAATTTCAACCCTAACTCTAACCCAAACATCAACCCGACCCAACCCAACTCAACTTTTTCGGATTGGGTTCGGGCCAACCCGGTCCAAGTTGCAGCCTTAACTGATACGTATCGATCGATACATATTATATCAGGAGCTTTCCGATATGCCCCTACAGAGGGTGTATCAGGGTTTTGACCGATTTAGAGGGTGGGCTGACCTTAAATTGACCCCTCTGAACCGGATTTAAAAAAAAAACTACTAATACTGTCCGATACGCCTCTATCAATATTTTGAACCTTGATTGAGACCAGGTGCCGCTAATACTAAACTAGTGCATTGCCTCAGTCGCCTTACATTGTTTTGTGAGGTCATTACCCAATGTTAACGGTGTTTTCTATATTTATTTATTTATTGCACAAAGTGATTGCTCTGAGATTCAAGCCTATGTTATCACACTTTTCAGCCCCATAATTTATCATTAAATTGCAATGTTTTCGAACCATGTTGACCTGGACAGTCAGACTCTTTGGCCTGGAAGCTGGTCAGGATACCGGTTCAGGCGATTCTCTTTCAGTCCTAAGCCATTGTTTTTCAAAAAACCGTTGAATTTGTCAATTATCCGCTCACCCATGCAATTGAACTTGACCCAAATAACAGTTTTTGGGTCATTTTTTTTTTTAATTTTTAAAATGTCATGGGCTGGTCTTTTTGGATCAGATGGTTGAATCCTGAAAATTGGTGGCCAAAACAGTTCTAGTTCGGACTCAGTTTTAAAAATATTGTTAAATTGCAAGAGGCGTCTAATGTGTATGAGAAATACCAAATAAAATGAAAAAAATAAAAATAAAGCATATTCCCTGTTATAATTTCTGGTAAGTTGGTTGTTTAGTTGGTTTGCCCTCGCTTATAAATTTTGGTTACAGATGAATAATCAAGTACGACCAAGAAAAAGGTTTACATTTTAGCATTGGCCTCTCCCTTGTAAATATTCGATGCCCTTATGAGTTATGACTAATGAAATGCAAAGCAATCATGATCGTCACTGCCCCTTCAACCATGAACCATCCGATCTCTGCATTTCTATCCACATTCCCCAACCTCCCTACCAAAATCCAAATCCTTTATGTACCCACTTACCCAGTTCTAACTCCATTGTCGTTATTAAATTTCTAGCCTCTTCTCTTATATGTTGTATTGTTCTTTATCATTTTTTTCTATTCCCTATTTCAAAGAATCATTCAACCTAAAAGCTTAAACTGTTAGGTGAGGTTCTTGAATAGGTTGATATTCTCTAACATGCCCCTTTACACGAAAGTGCATTGGACTTGATGTGTGAACAAGTACAGGCTCACCCATACCTTGTAACTTAATTAATTATAATGGGGTAATGAGGACTAAACAGTAGATCACTTGGTCAAAGTGGCTCTGATACCATCTCAAAGAACCATTCAACCTAAAAGCTTAATATTAGATGACGTCATTGAATAGATTGATATTCTCTAACACCCTGGGCACTGGCTTCAGAAGCAAAACCTACCCTACCTAACAAATAATATAAAATGTAAGGTTTTGTACACTACAATTTATATTTGTACTCCTTCCAAATTAAGACAAAGCAGCAATTTCATTTGCAGCATTTCTGTCATTAATTAGGAACTATCCACCACCACCATTGTAAAATATTTAAGGCTGCATTTGGCATTCCTTATCTTTAAGGATTTATCTCCTTTTTGCAGTTAAAATGTTCTTAAAGAACACAAAGTTTTTAACAGCAAAAAGAATACAAGGCCTTATAATTAGGAATGCCAAGTGCAGCCTGAAAGTGGGTCTCTCTGACTTGGGGTTGTTTGCCAAGGAAATCTTTTTGAATTTAGGACATTAGCATCCTTAAGAGACTTTGCTGATGGATGGATGGGTACCCAACATTGTATTAGGTCTTGAATTTTTTTTCTCAAATTAAAGTTTAATTTGATTATCTATGTATCACTTGAACTTAAGCATACTTAAAAGTAGTACTAGAACGGATGACCTTTTGAAAAATTCCTGTGTTACACCCCAATTTAAATATTGTAAAATACTAACTGATTAATTATTAAGGTCTCCAACTGGTTATAGCAGAAACTTAGAATAGATGCAGGTGGACTCATTTATCCCTAACCCGACCCTAGACCTAGAGTGGACTGTTTGAAGCAGATTGCCTTGTTTTCACCTCGGCCATCAACACCAATTCGGAAATTCTGTAGTAAGGGAAGGGGACAAGAATAGGACTCGGGATCTCCTGCCCACGACTATTTTTTAGCCGATCCAATTGCAGCTATTAACGTCAAAGGGAAGGGGACAATAATGCCTTGTGACATACTGACATCGCAAAAGCTGGAGACCCGCTGGTGCCCTTTCCTTCTCGGGTGATGGCCAATGGGGGCCCAGCCTTGTCCTGTGGATTGGATAACCACCCAAAGTAGGCCCACATCTTGTTTTAAAGCCCAAATGGACCATTTTAATTTTATTACACCCACTTTATGTTTATATGGTGCAGATATATTATCATCTCTTCTACCATAACAAATAAATTAACTTATATTTACAAAAAAAAAATGATTAAAATTACTCATTTGCCCTTAGATTAGTTCCACGGTACGTAAAAAACTTGTTTTGTGGTTGCAAATCGCAATAAGAGGGGGCCCCACAAGATCAATCATCAATGGAATCCGTTACCTATTTGAGGTTTTCCCATAATGTGCAGGGCATTGTCGGAACAGAAGATATATCAACATTCTAAGAATAGCATAAAATATAGTGGAACAGAAATCCCAACTGTTTTAATCGTCCCAACAGTCTTTAATGTGGAAGTGTGGGCACGTGCGGCCAGTCTTTACGTGGTCCTACTTTATCACATGATTGGTTTAATTTTTTGAAAACAATCTGCATGTGCTTAGGCTGACTGCAGACAACCTTGGTCTGGGCCTGGTTTTTGGGCCGGCTTTACGAATCTCCCACATGGAAGCGAGTTCTCATGATGTGCCACACGGAATTATGGGCTTTTCCGAGACACTGGACACCACCCAATCCATTTCGGGTTTGGGCCAAATTAGATGTGATCATTCCAAGAATTTATCGCTTTCTTTTCCAAGGCCCTGATCATTTTTATTTACCTGGATTGGATAGGTATGTTTATTTGGATAAGTGTTTTTTAGGTAAAACTTGTCCGTTAAATGAGGTTCCAACGTTTTTATACGTTACAAATTATCTGGATAACAAGAGTGGTGGGAGGAAAACAATGCTTATGACTTATTGTCGTGGGGATAAATTGTTTACCCACTTTGTAGGAGGGTAAGGGTGTCAATGGACCGGTTTTGGATTGGACCTCGTCCAATCCAAAATCAATTTGGATGGACCAATAAAGCATATTGGATTGGATCAATTCGGTCCAAAATATTTATTAGATTGGATTGGATCAATACGGTCCAAAATATTTATTAGATTGGGTTGGACCTAGTCCATCCGTAACAAATCTACATTGGATTGGATTGGATTAAGTCAATATCTGATCCATTAATATAAAATAAGAATATGTGCCAATGGACCGGATTTGAATTAAAACCAATCTAAATCAAAACAAATTTGAATAAATTGAACGGTCCAAACATCAAATTGGACCGGTCTAAATTGGTCCAAAATATTCATTGGATTGAAATTGGACCTAATCCGTTTATAATGGACTCATATTGGACTGAATCGGATGGAGTGTGGTACTCTTTAATATCCTCAGTTTCCATAGATCCAATATAACGACAAACAAATATAGGATTTATAGTCAATTTACCGGTTAATCAACTTACACCCACTAAATACCGGATGGGACCTAAAACCATCCACTCAAATGTCTAATTCTCTAGTCCATGAATATGGGTCAGGGTGGCCCGGTTTTGGCGTGAGGAGCACAGCTTGGTGGGGCCTCTCCCTAAATTGGTCCGTCCAAATACAAACCAACTTGCACCTGCACCTCCCATGTGCAACAAATAATGTATCAAACCTGAAAACATCCAAAATAGAAATAATCCATTTTGTGTTAGCCGACTTAAGAGGGATCGGCCCTTGGCTGTCATTTAATAGTGTTGTTGTTGGATGATTTTTCTGGTTTGAATGAATTTTCCTTTCTACCAACAAAACTTAGAAGGGTTGTGAATGGTAACTTGGATCATTTGCGACACACAAATGATACGATTGATTTCATGCATCTTGCTGGATGACATGACA